GATCTACTCCCACAGAGTTCTCTGGTTCTGGCCTATTCCCTTAGAGGTTTTAGACTTGAATCCAGACCCGTAGAGTTCTCTGGTTCCGGCCTACTCCCTCAGAGGTCTCAGACTCATGCCTGGACCTACAGAGGTCCTGGCTCAGGCTTACTTCCTCGGAGGTCCCGGACTCTCGCACCCGGACCAGCAGAAGTCTCTGGTCCCAGCCTGCTCCCTCGGCGGTTGTTCCTTATACCTGCTCCTGTGGAGTTTGCTGTCTCAGGCCTGCTCTGACCTACGCTGCTGACTCAGTCCTGTTTCCGTAAATGTTCCTGGCCTGGGTCCACTCCTGCAGAGGTCCGTGACTTGGGTTTGGTACTGAAAAGATCTCCTATTATTCTATTTTATCTACGTTGGTGTTCTGCCTGCTCCACATATAAATAATCTCATAACAATATTTTTCTTTCTGTGTCTGACTCATTTCTTTTAAGCTCCAGGCTCATGCTTGATGTAGCAAATAATAATATCCTGCGTTTTTTATTTTAGGATTAATAATATTAAAAATAATATGTATCTTTGTTCAGAATCATTTCCAGCATACACATTTTGTTTTTTGTCTATTCAATTGGCATCTGAAACTTGGGTTGTTTCTGTTTCAAATTTTCTGAAAGTGGCAATAAAGATAAGAAACATTTCTACTCAATCCTGAATACTTGTATAGTTTCTCCTGGTATTAGGCTGACCCATCTGACAGTTCTATCTTATAAGTAGAAGTAATTGGATTTAGCTACTCTATATAATTCAGGGTGTAATGATTCTGACAATTTTTCTCTTTGTTGCTCTCTCTTTCTTTCCTTTCTTCCATTTTTCTTTTCTTGACTGTTTAACAACAATAATATTTTATGTGGACCAACTTGGCAGAAGGAAAAAAGTTTGTGGTAAATATGGAAAGATAATATTAAGTAGACTCTGGTATTATAATACTTTGCAAACTACGTATACATCTGCTTATTATTTAGAACAGCAAAATCAAGATGGTTAGGTGAGAATATTATTTCTATTAATTTTTAAAGTAAAAATTGCATTATTTAATGGCCTTATTTGTTTTGAAACAAGGTCTCACACTGTAATTCAGTCTGGTCTTGAGCTTTCTTCTCTGCCTTGCTTTTCTTTCTGAATTCTATGGAACACAGGCATGTACGACCATGCTCAGCTATAGTCCAGTTTAAAAAATTTCAAGGTATTTTTTCCCTGAGGTAACCTTCATCAACTATTATGGTAATTTTTATTAAAAACAACATGTAGTGTATTTTAACACTCACAGAAGACAAACAAACCCTTTCTGGTTATTTAAGAGCATGTAGTCTATTGCTAGGTACTTCTCAGAATTCAACAAAAGTAGGAAACAAATCTCTATTTTAAGTAAATTTTAAGCCTACAATATAAATCATAATAATGATTTATGGAGAGTAAAGTAAAATATGATATTCACATAGAATGCCTAATGTAAAGAATAGGCACAGCAGTATGGACCACAAGGTGGCATTTCTTGTATTTGAACAGTCTAATTTATCCACTAGTGGAATTTTCACATTGATCTATTAAAAGATATTTCTCATAAATAACAATTGTATATACATCATTCTCAGTATGCCTCCTACTCCAACCCCTACTCCACCCAGCTTTCTACCACTCCCATGCAAATTCATGAGCTCTTCTTTATTATTGGAGAGAGAGAGAGAGAGAGAGAGAGAGAGAGAGAGAGAGAGAGAGAAGGAGGGAGGGAGCAGAGAGGAAAGAATTTACCGAATCCATCCAGTGATGATCGCATGAGCATGTCTTTAGGGATAACTACTTTAGATTGAATAACCAACCAGAGGTCTTCCTTGGAAAAAAGTGATTCTCAGTCTCTCAGCTATCCTTAGTTGATCGTAGTTCTTTATCTAGGGTCCAGTGACATTTACTCCAGCCACATTGGCGTGTGAATGAGTGCCATCATTATTCATATCTTGCCTAGGAAGCCTTACTGTTATGACCTCATGATTCCTGCCACTTTGTGGTGTCCGGAAGGAGAGCAGGCAGCACCATCACTCAGCAGATTTTCGGGCACTTAGTCTTTCTGGGCCCTCTTCTGCAATGTTTCTGGAGCCTTGAATAGAAGGTTGCAGTGTAGAAACCAGTTATGACTGGGCACCCCAGAGTCATTTATTCTCTGTGTTTTCATCAGTTCTGGATCTCAGTACTGCCGCTGTCTGCTGAGGTGGAAGGTCCTTGGATGAGTGGTGAGAACCACAGACAGATATTAAGCTAGTTTAGGGCAATGGCACTCAGAGATTCTCCTCTAGGGTCTATGATTCTCCTGCCACAGGTAGCTGGCTTGGGCTACATACAGTAGCAGTTATGGATTCCTTCCAATTGGGCAATCCTTAAGTCCAATTAAACAGTCATTGGTTACCCCCAAATAAAAATGTTATTGCAGCATTGGGGATGTCTTGCCAGGCCTTTGTGATTCATAGGCTTTGAGAAATCACCCTAAAATCACTTCCAAACCTCTGGTGAAAAATAAAATTAGACATTTTGAAGAGATTATATTTTAAAAGACACAAGAGATGGTACTGAGAGGAATACTAGCTAGTGGATAGGATTTACTAAAACATGAACTCTTTCATAGTATCTACAAGAATGTATAGATTTAATGTGCTTTCTTCATTTGGTAGCTGAGCTAAGGTACAGTAGAAAGAGGATGGTGGTGTCATCTGTGCATTGTAGATACTTAGAAAATCAGCATGACTATCCATCTCTAGGTGAGTCGACCTAAACTAATGAGAGAGAGAGAGTTGTTCATGGCCTTTTGCATGCTAAACACAAGTTCTACTAGTGGACTAAACTTCCAGTCCTGAAAAGAAACTGGTAAAAAAAAATACAGTATATAAACAGAAATACACCAAGGTCATAACCTAGCTACAATTTGTACTAAGTAGTTTAAAAATTAGATTTTAGTAAATATTGCATCCTCTAGTGACTAATTTTAAGTGATACCTCTACTACATGCAAACACACACACACACACACACACACACACACACACACAACACCAGGACTCTCAGTTTTCCAGCTTCTTTGTTTTAGGTGACTCCAGCAGATTTATATTGTCATATCTAGGAGGAACCTGGGGGATTCTGGCTCATTTTGATATTTTGATTATCCATTTTCATGCTTGCAAAAATAATAATGTCCATAATATCAGAAGGCCTGGGACCTGATGAGTAAGCTGGATCAACAAGATATATCTGCAATGGGCAGTTGATTCATCTGATTGCCAGACTAGAAAAAGAAGTGCTGTTGATGTAATCACCTAAGAGTCTGTGGCCTCGCACAGGCCAGCACAGACTTTAAGCAAACCTAGTTCTCAGGATGATTGCAGTGTGTCTCAAAAGGGAAGATTGTTGCTTTGGCAAATCAAAGGTTTAGACAATCAAAGACAAGGGATTTTACTGGATTCTGTTTTTCCTGCAAACAACACAAGAGGAGAGGAGAGAAAGAAAGTCCCTTGATGAGAAGGGACAATGGGGTAGCCAGCCTGCTGCTTCTGCCTGGGAATTTGGTTTGGTCACAGGCCTCAGGCCTCTACTTTCTCATCTAGAAAACAAAGAGTATTTGGGAGGGACTGGGTGGTTTCTGAGGGTTCAGATATGGATGGATCGATCTCATAGAAAAGACTAAAAACGAATATTTATGGGGTGCATTGCCCTCTCAGGACTGGAGGGGGTGGGGGTTGAGAGTGTGTAGAGGGAGGGAGAGGGGAGTGGGATGAGGGGAGGGGTGGGAATTTGGATTGGTATTTTGGTAAAGTAATAAAAGAAAAGAAAAAACAAAAAAATATTTATGAAAGCAAGGTTTGTGAGTGACAAAAATGGTGAAGAGCATAGCAGAAGGAAATGAAAATCCATCTTCCTGAATTCAAAACGCAACACAAACTGTCAGAAACCAAGCTCTTTGGAAAGAGGAAAAGGAGCTGTGTTCTTTGTCTCCAGATTTCCTCCACTGTAGTCTTGTTCTCTCTTGCTCAGCATCACCTTATTTTTTTCTCTCTCTCCTTACTTTTTGTTTCCGGTAACCATGGTGATGCTTCCTCTCAGCAGCCTTCTTTGCAGCTGCCCCTCTTGGTACACAGCAAATTTACTCCATTTTCTGGTGCAGGGTTCTAACAATGCTTTACCAATTCATTCATTAACATTTTCTCCAGGATAATACATGTGGAGAATTATTCTACAGTTAAGCCCCCTCCAGAGGCACTGTATAACAGGGATATTTAATTGTGAATTTCAGTTGCTAACATTGAAGGGGTGACAGATTATGCCAAACACTGAACTCCGTGTAATGGCCTCACCTCAGGGACTGCAAAGGTCTGCACTCAAACTAGTTGCCACCTCCCTTTGTATGAAATCAGAAAAAAAAAATGATTGCACATAGATATCACATGGCAAGCCCTGTAAGAGAAACATTGCCAAGTGGGTAATTATCACAATTCCAAAGCCATAAAATTTTCTGTAGGATTTATATACCAATGTATACATTTCTTTAATAGTGCTTTATTTTGAAACATGAATAAGCAATATGCAATAGTTTTATAATATTATATTCATCTTTCCTTGACAAAACCTAAAAGAATCCTTAATATCACTCATATAGATAATAAAAATTCCCTTAAACAATCATTTATTTATGCCCAGCTTGTGTAGCTTAACTCGCTTGTAATCCTATATGCCTGAAAACCTAAACTTCTCTCTCTCTCTCTCTCTCTCTCTCTCTCTCTCTCTCTCTCTCTCTCTCTGTGTGTGTGTGTGTGTGTGTGTGTGTGTGTAAAAAACACAAAGGAGACGAGATGATGACTTTCATAGGCTTACAGACTAGACTCCTGGGGACGCACTCGGATGGAGGCAATTAAAATGCCTGTCAGGCATTTGGTACCAAAAGCCCCCGTGGCAAACCGCTAAATCCTAAGCCAGGGCACCATCCTATTGTCAGTGAATGATGGCGGAGCTGAGTGTCTCGTCATCCTTCTCGAAAATTCCGAGCCTAGTGAGCTCTCTCTCTCTCTCCTACTTGCCTTATTTTCCTTTCCGCCACTGCGGGGACTTTTTTTAATTTGCAGCTTCCCTTTCCCCGGCACACACAGACACGAGCTGGTGGCTTTCAGACTGCGTCTGTCTGGAGCGAGAGGGAGTGTTCTTGGAGGAGGGTTCTGCAGCAGTTCCAAAGGACTCGCTTCAGGGGGACATTGCTGCATATGCACTGGTAATGCTTTAAGGCTTTTACGATCTATTTCACTTTATTTTTAATCCACTATGGAAAGTATCTGCTTTATGTGGTCTTGGATTACCGTGTTTTAAATCCATTATTGAGCTTAATATTGAAGCTCTGCAAGTGGTATATTTATTATCTGGATATGAGGGACGAATGGATTTATTGGTGAGTTCCGATTTCTAATATTTAGTTGACAAGCCTATACGTATATATTGTTTTCTTTTGTTTTCTTTCTCCAGAGTCTTCAGCTTGTCTCTAAGAGAGGAAGCACTGATTGGGAGTCACTCAATCAGAAAATTAAAAGGTACTGCATGTTTTATTTGGATGCTTAAATGAAGGGCTTTTGAGAAAGAACTGGAATGTTTTTATTTAGGTTTATCTTTATGGTTGGTCTTTTATTCCAGAGCCCGTGCTGATCATTGTCTAGAAGATATAGAATTTCTTATGCAGATTAATCCACCAACGAAGTCTATTTTGAATAGAAAGCATCTATAAAAATATGTCTTTTGTCTATGTTGCAAATTACTAAGAAATATCACCATGCCTAGCTAATTTGTAACATTTGAATTTTAATTATTGTGACAATTAACAAAATGTCTGAAATTCTGTATCACAAAAAAATGTATTCTTTTGAATTTAAGAGAAGTATGTTTAAAATGATTTTAGATGATGGTTGCCTGTGGACTCACTTTTTTTTTAACATTCTAAATAAGATGGTTCACTCTTTGTAGATAGGATGTGAGCACTGGAAACGAAAGCCCAGGGGTGACTCAGTGCTGTTAGGCTTTGTGAATAAAATATTGTAATTTCTTTACTAATGTTTTAGTATATAGCAAGGGATATTATTAAAGTCAAAGACGGTCAATTCTTACCAGAATTTAGTATCATATGCTTTATTCAGAAATAATAGAATAAAAAGGAACCTTCTCTCTTACTGTGAAGGCATTGAACGCATTGATCTGGGCCTTATGAAAAATACTAATTTTTATATTTAGCATCAGAATGTATATTGATTTAGAAGGGAAATTATAAATACTGTCCATTCTTTAATTTTTTAACATTACCTTTGAGTTTAGCATGTGTTCTTGTCCAGAAATCCTATATAGTAGTCATTTGCCTTTTTTAAAAAATGGAAGACATTTTCTGCCTTCCTGAGACGAGACCGATAGCACCCCCAAACCTTCTCTTAGCATTTATGGTATTTCCCTTTATGACTCCCAGTTTAATATATTTCATACAGAATGTTTAGCTTCTAAAAAATATATAATTTACCAATAGTTGAGACAACCACCCTAAGAGTAAAATGTCATAACTGTATGTGTACACCGTGAATGCAAAGATTTGCAGCAGCTGAGGGAGACTAGTGCATTGTCCTCGGTTAATTTTCTCTGCAATGTGTAATCACGAGTGACTTAATTTATTCATTCCACAAGCACTGCTGAAGAGCCTGGTTTCTGTGGGCAGTCCCAGTGCAAGAAAGGGGAGAGGCAGATGCCACTGTCCCAAGCGTAGGCTGAGCCACAGAGGATTTTTGAAGAAAATGATTTTTTTTTAAATAAACTAGTGTGTTCTCAAAAACGATGCTAAGTGATTTCAGATATTGCATTCATTCCAGTAGACTGATCTTAAAAACTGGCGAAATGATTATGCAGTTTTTTGTCTTAGAAATCACTCAGTATGATCGTCTAGGTAAGCCTGGAAGAAGACACGTCATTCCCCCAGATGTTGAAAAACTCTAGAGATCGTTCCTTTTAGAGGTTTTACTTTGAGTAAATGAAAATATTTCATGTTTGGTAAAAATTATCTGTTATTTTTTATCCGACCAAATCCATGTAGAGCGCACACACACTCACACACACACGCCCCTCCCACGTGGTCTGATTCTTAGCTCTCTGATGTATTTAAGCTTTGGGGTGTCTGTGCTAGTTGAAGAAGGTAAACTTATCTTTATCCTATTCAATATAAAGTCTGCTCTATACTGTCAATACACTGCTATACACTGCTATACGCTCCATTGCAGTTTTTCCAGGCTTTGAAAAGGTGGCACATGACCACCAAGAGGACCCTGTTGCCTCCTCTTCCAGGGCCATTTTGGAATCATCTCGTGGGGATGATGATGGATCGGTAATAAGCCGCAGCTCGTTAAAACGGCTGTTAGTGGGGTCTCAGTGCCATGGTGACTAATCAATATTGTCTGCACAGTTTTTAGCTTCTTTACTGAATTTTCTCCCAGTAATATTATTTTTAACATGTAAAATAGTGACTGGGCCACCAAAGTTCTGTTAATATTTATTTATTTAATTACTTAATTTGTAAAGAATTTATTTCTCTTCTTTTGTTTTTCCTGCGGTGACACCTTAAGAATAGAAATTTGATACTTTTTTGTGGTTAATTACCTAGAATTTGTGTGTCCTATTATTAATTATTAATGTTGGCAGTGCTGGTGCTTTAATGCGGAACCCTAGAGGTTGTAGGCATTGGCTCTACCACTGAGTCACATCCCCAGTTCCTAGCCACTGGTTATTAGATGAGTTGCTTGAGAAGCAGAAGAAAGCTGTGTGTTATAATCCCTTCAGGTTATGTGGGAATGATTTTTCTGGATTTCAGTTAAAGTGGGGGAAAAATTCAGTTTCATCAGAAGGCTAAAAAAAAGCCAGGCTGCAGCCTGGCTCTGCTAGGGGCACCTCCCACACAGTACTCCCAGGATCCACTCCGCTAACTGCACTTCGGGGCTCCTGCCAAGCTTCTGCAGTAGCAGAGGGGCAGAGGACTCCATCGCTAGATTTCTCTACACAGACCATGCTAGAAATGATAATCGATGAGCAAGAGAACACTGATGATATATGCAGGAAGGGAGCAGTTCTGTAATCTCAGCATTTAGGAGACTGAGGCAGGAGGATCACCAGGTCCAGGTCACTATATATTTATATGCTGTCTCTAAAAGCAAAAACAAAACAAAAGTGCATCGGTTTTCATTCTATATACATAAGTCTCTGTAAAGAAACTTTTAGAGTCATAATAATTTTGGAGAATGCCGTGTGTTATTGTCATTTGCTTTTGCTAATTAGAATGATGATTTGTTATTGTTAACTACCTGCCTGGCATTATCTTGCTCTTAGCATGTGATATCCAGTTTAAATCTGTAATTCTCAGAAGCAGGTACAGTCTCCATTACACAGATGAATAAACTGAAGCTCCAGCTGTGTGATCTCCATGTGTGACCCAAAACCCTCAGAGACTCTCATACATATTAAATGTTTCAAGTAGATTTGTTGTACATAGTTATTTCCTTAATATTATATTTATGTAGGTAATAAAAGGCTACAGTATGAGCAAAACAGTATACTTTGAAGATTCTCATTTACATTTAATAGAAGTGTGTCTTCAAATAGTTACATCATTCAAGTTCTTATATACCAAACATATACATAATATTCATGTTTTCATACATCTCATCTATTTAATTTCATACAATTTCTTAGAGTCTGTCAGATAAACTCGTAGGTTTATAAATGAATTAACAATACATTTTCCTTCTCATTTTCATGGGGTTTTATAAATAGTTGTATAATCTCTGTGTTAAGATTAGAGAATTCAAGAACAAAATACAACTCATATATTTTGTAAAGACTTTTAAAATTGAAATAATCACAAAAGGTTTGAGTGTCTGAAATAAATAAAGTGGAAATTTGTGTCATGAGCATTGTGAAAAATATTCAAACTCAAAGAAAAGCTACCCATAAAAATCACCAGGGAAATAAGAGATATACAGCGTGTATTAAGACCCTCTTCTTGTGAAAGAGTGGCTTCAGTGGAATAGTTTCTGAGGTTAGCTGGTGCAGTAGAAGCATGATAGAGCAGCACAAAACATCTTTTCAGATGCTGCCATAGAGGAAAAAAAAAGGATCCAAAGGGCATTGATTGTACCATACCAGGCATATAATTTCCTCAGGGGCTTCAGTGTATAAAATTTATGCACAAGACATTTGTGGTGAAATCTAGAGATAAACAGGAGTGGTCAAGGCGAATACTGCATAGGAGGAGCTTCAAGATAAACAAAGATTAGCATCAGCAGTGAAGGAACTGGCCAAGCATTGGGAGCACAGATGAGTCTCGTGTGTCCTAGACCATAGATAGATCAAGGGGACTCTTGGACACAAAGAGTGGACAAGTCCATGACTACTACAAGCCTATACCATATGAAATGATCATTACCCCCCCACTTTGAATAGCAAAATAAAAATGGCAGTCAGTTAAGGAAGAAGTTTTTCAATAATACATTGGGTTTTTATTTTTTGCTTTGTATTTGTGTGGTTTTATTCTTATTCAATAAGAAGATATTTATAAACAGGAGATAACTATGGCCAAAGTAATTTTCAGATTATTTATCCTGCAGCTCTGTGTAAGACAGTTGGAGTAAGCATGTTGCATGAACCATCATTTTAGACACTGTCATAGAGGAATGAAAAGACAAAGAGCATTGGTTGTGGATATGAAAAGGGGCGTGAAAGTGAAAGATGTTTCTGAGTCCCAAATTACATTCAGACACAGCAACTGATTGACTGCTGGAAGAAATAAAGGGCAGAAGAATGATTCACAGATGACTTCAAAGTTTAAAACTGACAGAAAGGAGATTTAGAGACGCCATTTGCAGAAAGGGTTATCTTCTTGTTGATCCTGGAGGTTATAAGAGACACAGAGCCAATTAGTACTAAGTAAGTGGGAGAGGGTGTGTTAAAAGATGGCGATACGTGGGGGGGGGGCATGAAGGATGGACTGTGAGAGATATGGACATGTGAATGGACTGGGGTGGGAGACTGCAGAGGGCACAGATATAAGATAGAGAAAGAAAGGCCTGGAGGATGTAGGTGATTCTACCAAGAAAAAGGGTGAGAGCAGAACCGACAAGAAGGTGTGTAACAGCATGCTTATTATAGACACAGAAGAAGAAAGGAATCGGGAACACGGAAGGAAGAATTAGAAGAACAAATAGATAAATTATAAATAACCAAGAGGAATATAGCAAATACGTTAGAAAGCAAAGCTAATACGTGGATCCTTCAGAAAATTAATGAATAAGATATTTCAATCGATCTACATTTTATAAAACTTTGTAAGTGTACACATTATATAAGAAAAGAAATGGTGCTCATCCCTACTTTTACAATGTATCATAATATAGTGGCTAATACCTTATGAATATTTTGTCTTCTTTTTGTTCATTCTATTACATTTAAATTTACATAATCAGGACTGGGAATACATAATTAAATTATGTCCTTTTCCCATTCATCATGATCACTT